CCCTTCGGCTGATGGCTCTTCTCTCTGGCTTCCTGGGTTTTAATCCCCTTTCTCCTGCTCTTCCTGCCTGCTACTCCGGGCGTCCCTGAGTTGTCTCTCCTCACCTGTAACCCTGGGGCTGTAATCCAGCTTTAATTTAGGGCAATTCCCTATTGATGTACTGCTGCAACCATTTTTGAATAATCTTCAGCAAAATTTTACTTGCATGTTACAATAATTATTGTATAATTATTATACAATAATTATAATGTTATAATTAAGTATCGAATTTTGTTAGATAATTTCCACATGGTGTTGGATCACCTTTCTTTTGAATATGCACAAATATGGGTCTCTTCCAGTTGGTTGTCCAGGTAGCAGTCTTCCAAATCTCTTTGCATAAATAAGTTAGCACCTCCAGGACTACATCCATTTCTTGAAATATCTCAATGGGTATTCTGTCAATTCCTGAAGTCTTCTTTTTCACCAATTCCTTCAAGCCATCTTGGACTTCTTCCTTCAATACCATTGGTTCTTGATCATTTCCTACCTCCTAAAGTAGTTGAACACAGACCAGTTCCTTTTGGTATAGTGGCTCTGTATATTCTTTCCTATCTTGATAGTTTCTGCATTATTTATTATTTTGCCCACAGAATTCTTCAATATTACAACTCAAGGCTGGGATCTTTTCTTCAGTTTTTTCAGCTTGAGAAATGACAAGTGTGTTCTTTCCTTTCGGTTTTCCAATTTCAGGTCTTTACACATTTCATTTTAACACTTAACTTTGTCCTCAAACCACCCTTTGAAATCTTCTGTTCAGCTCTTTTATTTCATCATTTCCTCCATTTGCTTTAGCTATTCTCCATTCAAGAGCTAGTTTCAGTCTCTTCTAACATCCATTTTGGTCTTCTCTTCCCTTCCTTTCCTGTCTTTTTAATGACCTTTTGTTTTCTTCATGTATGATGTTCTTAATGTCATCCAACTAGTCTGGTCTTCAGTCACTGGTGTTCAATGTGCCAAATCTATTCTTCAGACGGTCTCTAAATTCAGGTAGGATATAATTAAGATCATATTTTTGCTCTTGTGGACTTGTTCTAATTTTCTTTAGCTTCAACTTGAAATTGCAATATGAGCAATTGATGGTCTGTTCCATAGTCAGCTCCTGGCCTCTTTCTGACTGATCATACTGAGCTTCTCCATTTCCTCTTTCCACAAATATAGTTGATTTGATTTCTGTGTGTTCCATCTGGCAAGGTCCACATGTATAGTCACCTTTTACATTGTTGAAAAAGGTATTTGAAATGAGTAAGTCATTACAAAATTCTACCATTCACTCTCCAGCATCATTTCTATCATCAAGCCCATATTTTCCAACTGATGCTTCTTTGTTTCCAGCTTTCATGTTCCAATCGCTGGGGCAGGGGAGGCAGCCCTCTGGTGGTGCAGTGCCTAAGGCATTTGACTGCTAACCAAAAGGTTTGTGGTTCAAACCTACCAGCAACTCCATGGAAGGAAGATGGGGCAAAAAAAAAAAAAAAAAGATTTATAGTTA